TTAATGACTATTACAGATATATCCTCGGGTCCACATGCTTTATGGGGATCCATGTTAGAGATGATACAGGCAAAGCATTCAGCTTTATCAACAGTGTATGATAACACCTCAAATCGATTGAAGAGGGTGAGGAATAGAGACTTATTACAGAGACAGTAGTAATCACGAGAACCAAAGTGAGTAGAGGCTATGTCGTGCCTCATTCTCTCAGCAAACAGGGACATTTGTTACGAGCAGTAGCAAATAGTTACCTGACATGTCGGGAGGTGTCATGCTGGTATAGCCGGAAATAGTGATTCTTGTGTGCTATGGCGGCTGAGCATGTTGGGGAGAATCTTGGAGAGGATTGCGGTTTCATCTGATATTTCCGGGAAGGAATGAAAGCGTACATGCCGGCTTTGACCCCCAAAAAAAACCTCAGTGGCGCTATTTTCAGTTGGGAGGTTGACGATTTTAGTCCAAGAGGCGTCACGACAAAAAATGAGTTCCAATCACCGTGCTGGTAACGGAAAGAAGTCTTATGGATAGGGGATTTCTGTTTAATGAATGCTTCGAATGAGATATCAATGGCTACCACAGAAAGGTACAAGGTACCAAGAAAGCAGTATTGTAAAGATTGATGAGCGAGGGGAGGAGGTGAGAAATAGATCCAATAGAGAAACGTGTTGCTTGGTTTAGCTAAGGAAACATGTAGGGAAGCCCTCGATTTGAGTGAGGAATCGGGCAATGGAATAATTTAATGTCTGTATACCGGCAATCTTTGGAATGATTCAGTAACGTGTCGTGGTGAATATTAAAATCACTGACGACAAAGATTTTGCAGATGGATAGAAAAAAAAGTGCCGTTTCTATACAATCAGTTATTGCGTCTAACGTGATTAATGTAAAGATTAATATAAAGCTTTATAAAAATAATGATTTAGAAATCTGATTTCTTCTTAAACACCGAAATTACATATAATTCACTAATTACTAATATATATATATATATATATATATATATATATATATATATATATATATATTATATTATAAATTAATTGATTTAAAATATGGTTTTTTCGCTACACAGTTCCAACCATGTTTCAAAAATAGAAGCTAAAAACCCTGAATTTAATTTTGCAATTAAATTAAAAGCATTAGTTCCATTTCATCTTCAAGCGAATTTTGTTGTAGCGGAAAAAACAATATTTTAAATCAATTAATTTATAATATTAATGCTCTGTAAATTTACATTGAGCACTATTTTGTAAAAATAAAATATCTATAAGAACACCGGATTTTATGTCTTACTGTTCTTTCTTTTTTATATATATATATATATATATATATATATATATATATATATATATATAAACAGTGAACCTACACACATGGCCTGAAGATTAGCTTCCTGTATGAAACGGACTGTCGCCACTCGATGTTACCTATGGTCTTACTTATTGACAGGCAGATATTAATCTCTCGAGATATGAGAGATGGAAGACACCAAGATATTACAAGGACTTTGTGCGTGTGTGCACAGAACGACACATTTATACATAAACCTTTCGAAATTGTCAAATAGAGCGTAATGAATATTCGCGTAATATCAACTCATTCACAAAAACTACTCGACTTGAAAGAAAATTTCGCTGCCAGCCTATTTTGGGACAAGCGGCGCTTAATTTACAATTCAGTAATTCAAATCAGAGCACGGAGTTCGCAGTCTGCAAACATTCTAGGCTTTCCAGCCGATTATAAATGTACAGCAAGGTTATCAGGCAAATTCATCATTTTTTTTTTTTTTTTGTAATCATTTTGCCCCAAGCAGGCCGATTGTGCTACTAAGACATGGTTAGTGATATTGAAAGCCAATGAGAAACGTTTAGTAAGGAAAAGAAAGACTAAAAGCACAGGATACAGGAGGAAAGCAGATGTCGATAGAAGTTGCATTTAGATTTTTAAGTAAACAACGTATCGGTAACTTGTATGAGTATTTTAAAATGATTTATGTGGAGTGCCTCTTCGATGTCCGTACTCGTTTGAAGTGGATTACCTATAACCAGGATTAAAAACTCTCTGCTATGGAACCATCTCCATGAACGGCACACAAAAGTTTTGCTTTTTAAACAGCTCGTCTTCCTTTCATGAAATGAGAGACAAAAAAACAATCAATTTTTTCTCCATTTTCCATTTTAATATAATAAAATCTAAAATTTGCCATCTAGGTAAAAAAAAGCCACAAAGAAGCAAGAGAGTGAAAGAAAATGAGAAAATTTTTTGTGAGGAGAAGGGATTATAAAAGAACAGAATTCAGAAACACAGAAGATGCGACTTGGCTTCAATGAAAAAAAAAAAAGGAAAAAAGATTGAAGTGTTTAACGTCTCCTGCTAACACCTCATAAACAATGGACCATTCCGTCTTGATCGCCTGAGAAGACAAAGGCATCAAAGATCCTGCTTTGGTTCAGAACATGGAAGGAAGAATGGAAACCAAAAGTGTATCAGTGAAATGGAAAAAAGTTTGTTTTTTTATTCGTACCTCCCCACTACTTAAAATAACGACCAAATTTCGTATTTATGATATTAAAATAGCTTAAGTTGTTAGGCTCATATCTTTATCGACGTGATAGGGAAATTTCTACGGATAGTTTATTGTCGTAGACATAAGGTTATTCCATGACACCATGACTGGTGACAAAGGTTAACTGGTAATGTACTTTTTAATTCTAAAGAAAGAAAAATCATTTTAAAACAATGCGATCCCATGAATTATCTTGTTTGTGTCACATGTGGGGTATAGAGTGAGAAGAGAAATTGTAAGCTTGGGAAATAAAAAGCAGTCACTGAAAGAGAAGAAAAGATGGAAAAGATCTCATCTATACTAACCCTAACCCTCTTCCTGCCGAATGGCCGTGTTGCTCCAATCAGCTCTATGCGCAGCTCTATGCGCATCTCTATGCGCAGCTTGTTGAGTTTCCTCGATCAGCTGTTTTCGTTCAAATAGTTGAACGACTCTTTGATGTTAGCCATGACTGCAATCGCCAATCAAGCTCTTTCCCCCATCTTATGAATTCCTTATACGGTAAAAATGTTTTTAAATCTCTTTTGTTACTGTATTCATAAAGAAAGAAAACTATTTTCATCTTAAAACAATGCGAGATCATCACTTATCTGGTTTGTGTCACTTATGGTGTATAATGTGTGAGGTGAAATTGTAAGCTTGGGTTTGATTGGTCATTAGGAACAAGTCTTAGGTTTTAGGTTTGTGTAACAAGTTAATTTTGATAAAAGAATTGTTCGCTAGAATGAGTGACACAAAGCAGATCTGAAAAGGTCAGTTTGTTTTGATCAAGAATATAACACACTATCAAATAGAATTAACGATGTCACCTGTGATAATCAGGTCAAATGGGGTTGAGAAAATTGTAAAATATCTCACTGAAGGTGGATATGGGTGATACAAGGTCACCATTTATGATTGAACCGCCAGTGAGAGAAGAGTGAGGACCGGAGCTTCTCGTCTCACCTCCGATACTTACGGCACAGGGCCTTTATTTTGATTGCACAACCAATCATATTGGATTCTTGAGGGCTTTCCTTTCACCCCTTCAAGAAGTATGACACAAGACCATTGGTCAAGCATTGTTATTGGCTAACCAATCAGATCAGTACAATTGGGGTTTACAACCCCGCCAATAAAAGGCAGTCACCGAAAGAGTAGAGAAGATCTCATCTCTAGTGGACCAACACTCTCCCTGCCAAATGGCCGTTTGGCCTCAATCAGCTGTTATTATTAGCTGGCCAGAGTAGTGAAGTTAAGGCTTGCGAAAATGGAGTAATAGTGCCAGATATGGAGAGGAGTTGCTCAGTCTTCACTTTCCAGACTCGATAGAGTCCAAAAGCGTTTCCGCGTCCGTGTGGGTGATGAATTATTTTCTACCTTACAACCTCTTTCTCACGACCGAAACGTCGCAAGACTCTCGCTGTACTAACGCTATTCCCATGGAAAGTGCTCAGATGAACTACAGTTTTTAGTTCCATCAGTTCTAACCATAGCGTCTAAGACCTGCCATGCCACGCACATTGAAGCGAATCCCTCTCATTCTGTTTGTACTCCATTGCTGAGATGTAAGTTCTTTCTACGGACTGCTGCTTTGTGGAACCGATTCTCCAAGATGATGCGTTTCCGATCACCATAATCTTAATATGTTCAAATCTATGCTTAACCGTTATCTTCCCCACATATCCCCATAAACTCTGCCTCTTATCTTTTAATCTGTAACCCTCTACCACGAGTGGCTCTCACCTACGATTATATTTTGAAAATTCTTTGCAATATTAAAAATAACGCCATTTTATAACTATCACACAGACGTTAAATAGAATTCGTACATACGATCCATCGCTAAAGATGCAGGATAAATAGTCAGTTCCTTGTACCGCACCAGTAAGTACCTGACTCCTCCTGTTTTCTTCTACCTTTACAAGAGATAGATCAAACCGAAAATGAAGTGCTGCTGCCATATATAGGCGAGCGACGAACAATATTCACTTTTCAGTCTCGATAGAGTTTACAAGCCTCTCCGCGTCCTTGTGGGTGATTAATTATTTTCCACCAAACAAACCCTTTCCCACAAACGAAACGTTGCAAGACACTTGCTACTCTATCGCTATTTCCATGGAAATTGTTCAGATGAACTACATTCCTTAGTTCCACACGGTCTAACCTACCCGGCTATGGTTTGGTTGGCTGGTTGATTCGTTTTTTTACGGCTTATCAACCCATTTGCAGGTTATTTAAAACCAGAAAAAAATTTATATTGTAAGAATTATTTGTTTAAGATAATAATATTTTAGTGATATATTTCTTGCTAATTGACGGGGGGGAGAAGATATGGATTCATGCCTTTGTTGTTTGCAAGCAAGTGAATATAACGAACCCAACTGAAATTGAAACTCGGCTCTCCGATTAACAAATCTGAGTCATTATTCATTACACCACCCACATATCTAAGCTTACAGCACCTGGTATTCCTAAACGGTCACCCATCAAGGTACTGACCAGGGTCGATGCTGCTTAACTTCGGTGATCGTACAGGAACCGGTGTTTCAGTGTGATGTTTCCGTAATTAACACATAATGAGAAAAGAGGGTTTGGAGAATTTAACACTCACGGGACAGATTGAAGGCAAGAGGGAAGGATAGAAAGCTGTGGAGGACCATGATCGGTCACGTGCATAAGTGACAGTGCTTATGGAAGAACGTATATTTTGCAGTAGGAATGTAGATTTAGTGTAACAATGGTGATAAACAGGAACTGTTTGTCATTCGATTAAACAAATTCGGTAACTGAAAACAGAATCTTGCTATACCGTTTCAGTTTAATTGATCCTTTCGTTTGGGAAATGATTTCCAAACAAGCCAAATCTCGTTCTGATCTCGTAGAAAAAGTCTCCATCTCTCACGCAACAAGAAACCTCTTTCTGCCAAAAGGTGTTCGTGGACAGATAAGAATCCGAAGGAGAAAGGGGTGAAAGGTTCACTGAATAACTTATTCAGCAAGGGAGCAGAGATACGCATGGAATAAATATTGATGTGTGTGCTTGCTGTTACAGGGCATAACGAACGTCAAATGAAAGGCTTGTCATCATGGCCAACAAACAAAAAACAGAGAAGTGGGGAATACAATCAAAAGATATTGTAAAACCGTAAACATCTACATGGTCTAAACAGTGGTAAAAGCATAAGACATTTCTCCCAAAACGGGTTTGAAATTTAATATCTTTCTCGTTAATAATGTTGTTATTTTTTAATTTTTCAGATATAATTTCAATGTATCTTTGTTCGAGTGTATCTGCATTCTATTCACTGTATATACAAAACAAACTAAGAAGAAAAATAGACGAAAAGAAATAACTGAAAATTAGAAATATTTTAATTCTAAAGTCTTTGTGACTTCAGGGAGATTTTGAAGACATGATGAAATTATCAATAGTGACTATGAAGGAGAACAAGAGGAAAAAAAGGTGCACGATGAAAAGAAGAAGAGAAAGAAGTAGAAGAGGGGGAGGGGGAGAAGAAGAAAAATAAAATACGTAGAATGAGGAAACCGAAGAAAAAGAAGAAGAAGAAAAAATTTCTCTTTCTCTCTCTAAGGATTAAGATGAAGCAGAAGGAAGAGGAAAAAAGTAGGAGTAGAAGAAGAGGAGAAAGAAGTGGAAAGAGGGAAAAAGAAGATGAAGGAGGAAGAAGCAGAAGAAAAAAGTAGGAGGAGGTGAAGGAAAAAAGAAGTAAGAGAATAGAAAGAATTAGGAGGAGGGGGAGGAAAAAGAAGAAGAAAAAAAACAAAAGGATGAAAAGAAAAGATGTAGAAGAAAGAGGAAAAAGAAAAAGAGAAAGAGAAAAGAAAGTCGAAGAAGAAGTAGCGGGAGGAGGTAAAAGAATAAAAAAAGAAAGAAGTAGAAGGAGAAAAAAGGAAAATAAAGGAAAAAAGTCGAAAAAGAAGAAAAAGAAGAAGAAGAAAAAGAAGAAGAAGAAAAAGAAGAAGAAAATGAAGTAGAAATAAGAGGAAAAGGAAGAGAGGAAAAAGAAAAGAAAGAAATCGAAAAAAAAGAAGTAAAAGAAAGAAATAGAAGAAGGATGAAAAAGAAATGAAAAGAAGTTGAAGTTGAAGAAGATGTAAAAAAGAAGAAGAAGAAGAAAAGAAAGAAGTAGGAGGTGGAAAAAGAAGAGGAAAAAGAAGAAAAGAAAGAAGAAGAAGAAAAGATAGATATAGAAAAAGGAGGAAAAAGAAGAGAAAGAAGAAAAGAAAGAAAGAAAGAGGAAGAAGAAGAAGGAAGTAGAAAGAGGAGGAAAATGAAGAGAAAGAAGAAGAAAAGAAAGAAGTGGAAAGCGGTGGAAAAAGAAGAGAAAGAAAAAAAAGAGAAGGAGGAGGAAGCAAAAGAAAGAAAGGAAGAAGAAAGAGAAGAAAAAGAAAAGAAAGAAGTTGAAGAAGGAACAAACGAAAAAAGAGTTGCATCATACTCATTACCTTCGGATTCCATAAAGGCAGCTTCTTTCCGATAATTATTTCTTGGACAGACTATCAAGAGGATGCTTCCCCGATCACTACAATGTTGACCTCTTCAACTTTAGGGTCAGCCGTTATCTATTCTACATATCCTCATAGTATGCATTCTCTTCCACTGCTACAACATTATTCAGTAACTCTTTACCTAGAGAAAGAATAAAAAGACATTAAGATGACATCAAGGATGAACTAAAAAAGTAAAAGAAAAAAAGAGAAAAAAATGAAAGGAGAAGAAGAAGAAAAAAGAAAAAAAAAGAAGAAAAAAGAAGAAGAAGAAGAAGAAAAAATGACAACAAAAGAAGTGTGAATGTTTTGATGACAAGGTGAAGAAGATCCTTATTCATATCAGAAAAAGACCCAGCAAATTAGCGAGAAAGAAATGTAGAAATGAGTGGGTAGAAAATGATCCATTGTGAATTGTGCAAACGAGTGTGGCTCGACGTATACATCAATGATATATACACAAATCAAAAACTGTTTTTTGGTGTTTTTTTTTCGAATAAGAAATTCCAATTCCCCGGGGCTTTGCAATACAAACGCACCACCCAAGCGAACCAAAAAACGACTAGATCGCGTCATTTTACTTATTATAAAACGCAAATTGTCTGTGTGTGTGTGTGTGTGTGTGTGTGTGTGTGTGTGTGTGTGTGTGTGTGTGTGTGTGTGTGTGTGTGTGTGTGTGTCTGTACGTTTATATATTGGATCGGATTTCCTACGTTTTTCAACCGATTTCAACAAAACTTCACAGGACTACGTAAAATTACCTTGCGGGGGTTCTGACAGCATCAAAAATTGGAAAAACACAATTGTTTTTGCACAGAATCAATTTGAAAACACGATAAAACACGATTCTGTCGCCAGAATGAAAGGGGGGCAACTCATATCGAGTTATACTTATTATGAATCGCAGGTTGTTTGTGTGTGTGTATGTGTGTTCGTTTATATATGGGATCGGATTTCCTACATTTTTCAACCGATTTCAACAAAACTTCACTTTTTTTTGGCAGGTAGTGTTTCTTATTGTCTTGCACACTTTTTTTCTTTATTTTTACATTCAGAATGCTTTAACAATTCCATTTACAAGACAATTGTTTATGATAAAATTCTATTCAATCGATAGACTCATAAAGATTGAAAACAATGTTTTAGCTTTAGTTTGACCAATTCGTAAAAAAAAACAAAAAAAAAACTAATTAAGACATGCGTGTTCGTCAACCTTAAACAATAATCTATGTCAATTTTATTTTTCAGTCTTTATGATAGTCGATTCTTTTTCTTCTTCCACTTTCTCGTATTTTTCTTCTTCCACTTTCTCGTCTTTAGCTTCTTCCTCTTTCTCATCTTTTTCTTCTTCATCTTTCCCGTCTTTTTCTTCTTCCACTTTCTCGTCTTTTTCTTCTTCCACTTTCTCGTCTTTAGCTTCTTCCTCTCTCTCGTTTTTAGCTTCTTCCTCTTTCTCGTCTTTTTCTTCTTCCTCTTTCTCGTCTTTTTCTTCTTCCTCTTACTCGTCTTTTTCTTCTTCCTCTTTCTCGACTTTTTCTTCTTCCTCTTACTCGTCTTTTTCTTCTTCCTCTTTCTCGTCTTTTTCTTCTTCTACTTTCTCGTCTTTAGCTTCTTCCTCTTTCTCGTCTTTTTCTTCTTCCTCTTTCTCGTCTTTTTCTTCTTCCACTTTCTCGTCTTTTTCTTCTTCCTCTTTCTCGTCTTTTTCTTCTTCCTCTTCCTCGTCTTTAGCTTCTTCCTCTTTCTTGTCTTTTTCTTCTTCCTCTTTCTCGTCTTTTTCTTCCTCTTTCTCGTCTTTTCCTTCTTCCTCTTTCTCATCTTTTTTCTTCCTCTCTCTCGTCTTTTTTTTCTTCCTCTTTCTTGTCTTTTTCTTCTTCCTCTTTCTCGTCTTTTTTCCTCTTTCTCGTCTTTTCCTTCTTCCTCTTTCTCATCTTTTTTTCTTCCTCTTTCTCGTCTTTTTTTTCTTCCTCTTTCTCGTCTTTTCCTTCTTCCTCTTTCTCGTCTTTTTTTTCTTCCTCTTTCTCGTCTTTTTCTTCTTCCACTTTCTCGATTTTTCTTCTTCCACTTTCTCGTCTTTTTCTTCTTCCTCTTTCTCGTCTTTTTCTTCTTCCTCTTTCTCGTCTTTTCCTTCTTCCTCTTTCTCGACTTTTTTTCCTTCCTATTTCTCGTCTTTTTCTTCTTCCTCTTTCTCGTCTTTTTCTTCTTCCTCTTTCTCGTCTTTAGCTTCTTCCTCTTTCTCGTCTTTTTCTTCCTCTTTCTCGTCTTTTCCTTCTTCCTCTTTCTCGTCTTTTTCTTCTTCCACTTTCTCGTCTTTTCCTTCTTCCTCTTTCTCGTCTTTACCTTCTTCCTCTTTCTCGTCTTTTTCTTCTTCCTATCTCTCTCGTCTTTAGCTTCTTCCTCTTTCTTGTCTTTTTCTTCTTCCTCTTTCTCGTCTTTTTCTTCCTCTTTCTCGTCTATTCCTTCTTCCTATTTCTCATCTTTTTTTCTTCCTCTTTCTCGTCTTTTTTTCTTCCTCTTTCTCGTCTTTTCCTTCTTCCTCTTTCTCGTCTTTTTTTCTTCCTCTTTCTCGTCTTTTTCTTCCACTTTCTTGATTTTTCTTCTTCCACTTTCTCGTCTTTTTCTTCTTCCTCTTTCTCGTCTTTTTCTCCTTCCTCTTTCTCGTCTTTTTCTTCTTCCTCTTTCTCGTCTTTTTCTTACTCCTCTTTTTCGTCTTTTTCTTCTTCCTCTTTCTCGTCTTTTTCTTCTTCCTCTTTCTCGTCTTTTTCTTCTTCCTCTTTCTCGTCTTTAGCTTCTTCCTCTTTCTCGTCTTTTTCTCCTTCCTCTTTCTCGTCTTTTTCTTCTTCTACTTTCTCGTCTTTAGCTTATTCCTCTTTCTCGTCTTTTTCTTCTTCCTCTTTCTCGTCTTTTTCTTCTTCCACTTTCTCGTCTTTTTCTCCTTCCTCTTTCTCGTCTTTTTCTCCGTCCTCTTTCTCGTCTTTTCCTTCTTCCTCTTTCTCGTCTTTTTCTTCTTCCACTTTCTCGTCTTTTTCTTCTTCCTTCTTCCTTTTTTCTTCGTCTTTTTTTTCTTCCTCTTTTCTCGTCTTTTTTCTTCCTCTTTCCTCTTTTTCTTCTTCTTTTCTTCTTTTTCCTTCTTTTCTCGTCTTTTTCTTCTTCCTCTTTCTCGTCTTTCTTCTTCCTCTTTCTCGTCTTTTTCTTCTTCCTCTTTCTCGTCTTTTTCTCCTTCCTCTTTCTCGTCTTTTTCTTCTTCTACTTTCTCGTCTTTAGCTTATTCCTCTTTCTCGTCTTTTTTTTCTTCTTCCTCTTTCTCGTCTTTTTCTTTCTTCCACTTTCTCGTCTTTTTTCTTCTTCCTCTTTTCTCGTCTTTTTTTCTTCCTCTTTCTCGTCTTTTTCTTCTTCCACTTTCTCGTCTTTTTCTTCTTCCTCTTTCTCGTCTGTTTTTTCTTCCTCTTTGTCGTCTTTTTCTCCTTCCTCTTTCTCGTCTTTTTCTTCTTCCTCTTTCTCGTCTTTTTCTTCTTCCTTTTCTCGTCTTTTTTTTCTTCCTTTTCTCGTCTTTTTCTTCCTCTTTCTCGTCTTTTCCTTCTTCCTCTTTCTCGTCTTTTTCTTCTTCCTCTTTCTCGTCTTTTCCTTCTTCCTCTTTCTCGTCTTTTTCTTCTTCCTCTTTCTCTTTTTTTCCTTCTTCCTCTTTCTCGTCTTTTTCTTCTTCCTCTTTCTCGTCATTTCCTTCTTCCTCTTTCTCGTCTTTTTCTTCTTCCTCTTTCTCGTCTTTCCCGGACCATAACATCTAGTCTTTTACTTCTTCGTCTATGTCGTCTTTTTCTTCTTCGATTACGATTTTATTCTTCTGTTTCTGCTTTTTCTCTTTCTCATTCATCTTCTCTGCTTGTTCTTCTTCGTCATCTTTTGCTTCTTCGTTTACGTCGTATTTTCTCTTTGTTATTAATTTACCATTTGACTTTGTCCATGTTCTCTCTCACTTATAGATATTCTTGCATTCTTCTTCTTCTTGTTAAGTCGTCTTTTCTTCTTCCACTACGATGTTTTCTTTCGTCTACGTTCTTTCTTTCCTATTTATCTTAAGCCATTTTTCTTCTTTGTAAATTAATTTCTTCGTCTATGTTGTATATTTTTCTTTTTAGTCCATCATGTTTTTTTTGTTTGTTTTTTTAATACGTTTGCGTTTTCTGTTTCTTAATAAACTTCACGCCATTTTCTTCGTCATTTTTCTCTTCTTCGTCTCTGTCATTTTTATCCTTCCGCTGATTTTTCTTCTCCATCGTCTGGGTTCTCCCTTTCGTATTCATCTACCCGCCATTTTCTTCGTCGTCGTTTTTCTCTCTCACTCTGTATTCTTTTTCTTCTCTTTTTTTTTTCTTCTCCCTGTGCGTTTTCTCTTTCTTCTTCATGTACTCACCGTTTTCTTCTTCGTCGTCTTTTTCTTTTTCGTCTTTGTCGTTATTTTCTTCTTCGAATATGATGTTATTTCTCTTTCGTCTCTTTTCCCTCTTTCTTATTCATCTTCTCGCTGTTTTCTTCATCGTCTTTTTCTTCTTCGTCTATGTTGTCTTATTTCTTCATCGGCTATGGTGTCCTTTCTCCGTCTGCGTTCTCGATTTCTTATTCATCTTGACTTTTTCATCGTCGTCGTTTTCTTCTCTGTCTATGTCTTCTTTTTTCTCTTTTGCATAAATGTTTTTTTCTTCTCCTTCGTCTGCGTTCTCTCTTATTCATATTCCTGCATTTTTCTTCTTTTTCTATGTCGTTTTGTTCTCCTTCGATTACGATGTTTTTCTTCGTCTACGCCCTCTCTTTCCTATTCATCTTCACCCCTCTCACCATTTTATTCATTGTCGTCTTTGTTCCTCTACGGTGTTTTTCTTCACCCCTTGTCTGTGTTCTCCCTTACTTTATTCATATTCTTGTATTTTTCTTCATTATCTTCTTCTTCTTCTATGTCGTATTTTTCTTCTTCGACTACGATGTTTTTTACTTCGTCTATGTCCTTTTTTTTCTATTCATCTCCACCATTTTTCTTTGTAAAAATGTTCTTAGTCTGTGTCATATTTTTTCTACTACGTTCCCCTTTTCTCATTCATATTTTTGCCATTTTATTCTCTATCGTCTTTTTCTTCTTCGCCTATGACGTCATTTTCTTCTGCGACTACGCTGTTTTTTTTTTCTTTTCCATTGTCTGCGTTCTCTCTTTCTTATTCATTCTCTCGCCATTTTATTCTTTGTGTTTTTTTCTTCGTCTATGCCCTCTTTCACTTTTGCGACTACGCTGTTTTTTTTTCTTCTCCATTGTCTACGTTCTCTCATTCTTATTCATTCTGTCGCCATTTTATTATCTATCGTCTTTTTCTTCTTCGTCTTTGTCGTCTTTTTCTTCTGCGACTACACTATTTTTTTTCTTATCCATTGTCTGCGTTCTCTCTTTCTTATCCATCTTCTCGCCATTTTATTCTTTGTCTTATTTTTTTTCTTCGTCTATGCCCTCTTTCACTTCTGCGACGACGATGTTTTTTCTCTTCTTTCTTCTTCGTGTACGCGCCCTTTTCTACTTTGTCGTCTGTTTCTTCTTCATCTTTATGGTCATTTACGTCTACGACTACGACGGTTTTTCTTCTTCGGCTGCGTTCTCTCTTTCTCATTCATCTCTACGCCTTTTTCTTCTTGCTCGTCTTTTTTTCTTCGTCTATGTCGTCGTTTACTTCTTCCACTACAATGTTTTTTCTTCTTCCCCGTCTGCGCTTTCTCTTTCTTATTCATCTCCTCGCCATTTTCTTCTTCCTGGTTTTCTTCTATTTCGTATTTTTATTCGACTACTATATGCTTTTCAGTGTTCGTCTGGGTACTCTCTTATTCATCCCATTCGCTTTTTTCTTCTTCGTTGTTTTTTTCTTATTCGATTTTGTCATATTCTCTCCTTTGTCTACAATATCTTTTCTTCTGGGTTTGCGTTCTTTCTTTCCTATTCATCTTCTATAAATTTTCTTCTTCGTATATGTCGACTTTTTCTTCTTCATGTACGATGTTTTTTTCTTGTTCTTCGTCTTTCTTATTCATCATCTCGCCTTTTCTTTTTCGTCGGCTTATTATTCTTCTTATTCGTCTTTTTATTTCTTCATCGACTTCGATGTTCTTTCTTCTTTCTTTATTCTCTCTCTTACTTATTCATTTTTTGCTTTTCTTCTTCGCCGCCTTCTTTCTCATCTTCGTCTATGTGATCTTTTTCATAATCATCTGCGTCTGCCTCCTCGTTTTTTTATTAATCTTCTCACACTTTTCTTCCTCGTCGTCTTTTTCTTCGACTACGATATTTTTTCGTCTACTTCATCTGATCTCTCTCTCTCTCTCTCTCTCTCTCTCTCTCTCTCTCTGGACACTCCCACAAGATGGACTAGTCTAAGACTATATAAACAGCGCGCTCTCTCTCTCCCTCTGGACAACCCCACAAGATGGACTGGTCTAAGATTATTTAAACGGCTCTGTCTCTGTCTGTCTGTCTGTCTGTCTCTATCTATCTATCTATCTATCTATCTCTGGGCAACCCCACAAGATGTGCTCGTCTAAGACTATATAAACAGCTCTCTCTCTCTCTTTTATCCACCTTCTTTTCTCTTTCTCCTTCGTCGTATTTTTTCTTCGTTTATGATCTTTTTTCTTCTTCTTCGTCTTTCCTTTCTCCTTTTTTTTCAATCTTCTCGCATTTTTTTTTGATTCGCCATCTTTTTCTTCTTTATGTATATCGTCTTTTTCTACTTCCGTTACGTTGTTTTTTTCTTCATCTTCACTCATTCGTGTACATCTTCTCGCCTTTTTCTTCGTCGTCATCTTTGTCCTTTTCGTCTATATTTTCATTTTCTCCTTCGTCTTTTGCATTTGCATTCTCTCTTTCTTATTCATCTTCTCTCCTTCTCTTCTTCCTCGTCTTTTTCTTCTTCAGCTACGATGGTTTTTTTTCCTTTGTTTTCTTCGTCTCATAATTTTTCTTCATTCTCTTTTGTCTTATTCAGCTCCATCATCTCTTGTTGTATGTTTCTGACATTTTTGCATTCTCTTTTTTTTTTCTTTTTTGTCATAATCCTTTTTCTTCATAATCTACGTCGTTTTCCGTCTTCTTTTCTTTATTTTTTCTCTTTGTCTTCATCGCCTTTTCTTTCAATGTCTTCTCATATTTCTTCGTCTGCATTTTCTCTTTTTATTCGTCTACATTGCCGTCTTCTCTTTCTTCCCCCTTTTCTACTTCTTCCTCGATTACAGTGTCTTTTTTCATCTTCGTTTTCATCCATTTTCTACTTGAATCTACGCTGTTTACTCTTTTCGTCATCCTTTTCATCGTCTTTTCCTTCGAATAAATCTTCTTTTCTTACGTCGCCGTTCTTCTTTTCGACTTCACTATCTTACTTCTTCTTCGTTGTCTTCTTCATATTATTCATCATTGCCTTTTCTTCCTTGTCTACTCCTTTCTTTTTTCTTCAACGTTCTTCTTTTGTTTTCTTCTTCTTCTTCTTCTTCTTCTTCTTCTTCATCATCTTTTCTCTTCTCCGATTATATTGTCATTCTTTTTCTTCTTTTTCTTCATTGCTGTCTTTTTCTACTTTTTTTTCTTCGTCGTTTTCATATCCTCAGTTTTCCTTCTTCGTTCTCTTCTCCACCTCCTCCTCTTCTTTCTCCTTCTTAATCATCACTCCGCATTATTATTGCTAATTTCATTATGATGAGAAAATCCCCCTGAAGTCACAAAAGTATTGATAAATCAAATAACATTTATATTCATCAGTTCCTTCTATTTGTCTACCTTTTCTTCAAATTTAATATGCTGAATGAACATACATTCAAATTATCTTAGAAATGGTACCCCCACCCCAGAAATGACAAGGTAGTAATTGTTATACACTATGCAAACGACGAACCTTTGAGAATATTTTAAACAAACTGTTGTCCTTGTTCCAAAAGGCCACAGAGGAAAACTGAAAGCAAATAACGATGGAGGTTAAGTTTATATCCATCATTACCGGTAAACTTGGAAGAGTTTCGAAAGTAGGAGGAAATGACGAGAAATCTAAAGAATAATCGAATCCATTCAAACAACACTATGACTCAAATCTCAAATATTGGACATGTGAAAAAAATATAAAAACAATCATTAAGCCGTATATTAATTACCAATGGGCATTTATTTGTATATTTCCTGTCCCATTTCTAGTAGGAAGGGAGATAAAACAAATTAAATTTTTGGGAGATTACTTCACTTAGTTTTTTATAAACTATACAAACAAAATATTACATTTAAACAGAATTTGTTCCCGAACAGAATGAGCTGTTTAATTAATGAGTTCCTTTACGCCTAGGTTTCTTAATGTTGTGGAGTAATCTGGACACTGCCACAAGTTGAACTAATCTAAGACTATTTAAACAACTCTCTCTCTCTCTCTCTCTTATTTAAGCAGCTCTGTCTCTGTCTCTGTCTCTCTCTCTCTCTCTCTACCTACCTATCTATCTCTCTCTCTCTGGACACTCCCACAAGATGGACTAGTCTAAGACTATATAAACAGCGCTCTCTCTCTCTCCCTCTGGACAACCCCACAAGATGTACTGGTCTAAGCTCTCTCTCTCTCTCTCTCTCTCTCTCTCTCTCTCTCTCTGGACACTCCCACAAGATGGACTAGTCTAAGACTATATAAACAGCGCTCTCTCTCTCCCTCTGGACAACCCCACAAGATGGACTGGTCTAAGACTATTTAAACGGCTCTGTCGCTGTCTCTGTCTGTCTGTCTGTCTGTCTGTCTGTCTGTCTCTCTCTCTCTCTCTCTCTATCTATCTATCTATCTATCTATGTCTGGGCAACCCCACAAGATGTGTTCGTCTAAGACTATATAAACAGCTCTCTCTCTCTCTCTCTCTCTCTCTCTCTCTCTCTCTGGACACTTCCACAAGATGGACTTGTCTAAAACTATTTAAACAGCCCTTTCCCCCTGTCTGTCTGTCTCTCTCTCTCTCTGTCCTTCTCCTACTGATGGAGAGCAGTTGACAATTAAATTTCGTTATGGCTCTTCTATTCGACTTCTCTACCTTTGGGGAGAGTCGATCCCAGACGAAGCTCTGCTTACGGGGCAGAGTTTCTTCGGCGGGGTAGACAGCTTCCTGACTCTGTCTATACGGGGAATTTTTCACTGAGCGTACGTGCTCTGAAAATCCCACGTTAAAATGCGCCCTTGTGCCACACCCCGCCTTGTGGGGAGGTCACGGGTAAATACCGAGGAGTTAACAATTAATCGTTACTCTGTCGACCTTTCTGCCTCCGGGAGGAACTCAGACGAGGCTATCCCTTCGAGCGGGCAGAGTATCCTCTGGGAAGTTAGACAACCACCCGACCTCGTGTATGCGGAGTCTACAGGGAATTTTTGGCCGAGTGTACACACTCGGAATAACTCTACGTTAAAACCCGCCCTTGTGCCACATCCCGCTTTGTGGTGAGGTCACGGGTAAATACCGATTAGTTAAAGATTAACTGTCTACTAAAATAGTGTGTGTTCTTGACCGTGTACCATGTTATTATGCGGTGTAAACTGCTACTTATTTTCTGTATGTGTCAACCTTTCGTATTTACGTCACAACTCTTAGATTACAGTCTTATTTGTTCAAGCCTTGCATGTGAGGCACTCAGATACCTTTTTTAATCATTTCACCCCAGGCACAGCGGGCTTACGGATACATCACGGTGAAACACCCGTATGATCACCGATGTTAAGCAACGTCGAGCCTGTAGTACCGAAAGTGAAATCAGCACTGGCCAAATTGAACAGAAAGTAGCAGGACTGGATGTATATCTTTCTTTTCGGAGAAACGAGTTTCCAATTCGCGTTTGGTTCGTTATAGCGAATCACGCGTAAATACACTTGGGAAATATAAGAATTCATCTCTTCTCCCCCCCCCCAGCTATGGGTTAATTGGTAAGACTTGTATAACTAAAGAATTAATATCTAAGATGACATATTGTAATTATTTACCATATTTGCATTGTTCTGACGGATGTTTTCATCTTTGTTGCTGTATTCATATGAGGACAATATTTCGAATAATGTAAATAGAATAAAAAAATATTATCTCAAAAAATCCTTACATTTAAAAATATTTCCTGGCTTTAAATAACCTGCAAAAGACTATAGAAAACGAAATGTATCAATCAATGAAATAATGATTGGCAACACAGACATGTTTTTTATAATTGTTTACATTCTCAAGAATATAAATGTATACAAATCTCCGTGGCCACAAAATGAGGGGTCAGTTTGTATATTGATTGTAATATAAAATTGATCCGTCTATATTTCAGAGATGAGATATTATGTGCACTATTTACATTGTTCAGACTATCGTCCTCATCTTTGTTGCCATATTTATCACAATGTTTCCACCGTTGTACGCTCCGGCCTTCTTCAGGTGGTTGACATGTCGAACTGAACACTTTATTTCGCTCACTGGGGTAGACTGTTCAAGTTCCATATGCTATGTTTTTAATGGATGTCAGTTATCAGTTATCTCTTGTTAATTCCCATCTCCATGTTCTCCACTGCTTTAACTGGGTATTGAACTCACACTCTTTGGGTCCTCAGTGACACATGGCACAGTGGATTAAGGTGTTAGATCCCGTGGAACTAAAACAGTCTACCCAAGCGAGCGTAATAAAGGGTTCAGTTCGACATCCTAACGACCTGAAGACGGCCGGAGCGTACAACGGCCGAAATGTTGTAAAAAAATATGGCAATTACGGTGACTTCTGACCATTTCAATTGAAAAAAAGGATGAGCATTTTCGGCCAATATAGAACTGTGCTTAAATTCAAAGTCTGAGACCTAAGGGGATATTGAATGTGATAATATATGAGAAAGAGAAAATGTTATTAAAGAAATGGAAGGTAAATCTTTCTCTCTCTCTCTCTCTCTATATATATATATATATATATATATATATTAGAGAGAGAAAATGAAAATGAGATAGAGAGAAATGAAAACTGAATGACTTACCTTCCGTCTCATAATAACATTCTTCTATTTATATATATATATATATATATATATATATATATATTTCATTAAATAATATAGACAAAAAAATTTTGTCTATTTCTTTTAAAGTAAGTTCCTTTCATATTGTTTGATAAATGAGATAACATTATGATTGAAAGACGAAAGAAAATCACCATATTGATACATGTTTAAATCCAATCTAAGCTTTCATGCTTACATAAGCCATTATCAAAGATGACAATTACTTTTTTACTGTATCAACCAATACACAAAACACTAAACACTGTTTTTGTTGCCTGATGAATTTCAAAGCGACGACTAACATCGTGTATACGAGACGCGGAAGTGAAAATCGCGTCGCAGCTCATGACGTCACACATGACCACGAGAGAGTGAAAACGAGAAGTATTAAATATGGGAAGCCGTTGGTATAAACCAATGGCTTCTATTATCAATTATAGGCATTTAAGAATGTGGAGATTTCGTAGTTTATTTTGTTCAGGTTAGGGTTCAACTATTTTATGTATATAGCTTCAAGATTTATTTTAGTTTAGTATAGTTGTATTTTCAACAAGGATTTTTCATCGGTGTTGCTAGACGTCCGGTTGCCTCTAGATAGGATCGAAATCCGACTGAATTTGATGTCAGTCTATCAGTCTATCTATCTATATATCTATCATTTTCTATTTATTATCTATTTGTCTTCCTGTCTCATTTTATTCATTATCTATCTATCGATCGATCGATCTATATATCTATCTACATTATTAGAGAGGAGAATCGATAAAAGAACGGGGATTAAGACGATAGATGATAATGATTGATATTGCATTTAAAGTTTTTGAAAGTTCCACAAGTGAGAAGTGCGAGAGAAGAAACTGTTAGAATAGAACTTATGGTTAGATCTAGACATGTCAACTCTAAGATGATGAACCATAACTGCCAATCAAGTACTGCGCTTAAATTAATAATATCTAGATAACGAAGTGGAAAGCTCATCAGAATAATTTCCATGAAAATATTTATAGAAAAGGCACAGGGAAGCTATATTATGGTGGTGGTAAAGTGGGTGAAGTCGAGATGCGAGCTCAGGGCCAATAAAATTATATATTATTCTTTGGACTAAATTGTTCAAGTCTTTAAGTTAGGTGTTGTTATACAGTGTAACCCGGATATAACAGAAACCCGGATAAAAGAGAGATTTTCTCTGGTCCCAAATTAGAGCCTGTGTTAATGTATATAAAATAGACCAAACCCGGATATAAGAGAAACCCGGATATAAGAGACTTCTTCTCCGGTCCCGACAACTCTCTTACATCCGGGTTTCACTGTATATCCTCTTTATCCTCAGGTTCTCCGCTTTCCATCACTTCATCTTACATTCATATCACACAACTCGTTCAATAATTCTCTGCCTTGAGTTGCTCTCTTGTATTAGGTGAATACTGAGAAGACGTATTGCCACTTAATCTCCAGCTAGCGCAATCAGATATTGTTGGTGTGAAAAACACAAACTGAATATTAATTAGTAATGTTGCCAGGGATGACGACGATGATGACGGTAACTTGATGACACAGAGAGGGAAGGAAATATTGAGAAAGGACAAGAGGAAAAAAGAATAATAAAGTGCCTAATGAATAATTCATTGCTAATTTGAATATTGATTAGGTGTACTA